TCTTATCACTCAGGAAATTTCGAGAGTTGTACAAGTTTTGGGGGGATAAAGACCCTATATATTTCTTACTGCATCACACAAGGTTTGAGTCGTTTCTTGATTTTTTTTTTTTTTAAACAACCCGGAAGATGAGAAGACAACTTGGTGAGTCAGCATGAATTTCCAAGTTGCCCAGCAACCCTGCCCTGTAACTCCCCTGATATATAGCCCCTGACCCACCCAGATTTCTGCCACTTTCAAGAACACACTCAGAATTCTTCAAATCACACTCTGAACCCTTGCTTTCTGGCTAATGAGTTTTGATCTGTTCTCAACCAATAATTATACAAGCTAAGCTAATCTAACTCATTTTGGAAAGACAGGGGGCTATAGGGACCTTACACATAGTTTGAGGCCATTTTATGAAGAGTTAAGAATCATTTGCTAATCACATAGGCCACCGTCTTCTCTGTGCTCTTACATTTCTTGTTGGTATTTTTAAAGTCCTCTACTAAATTCTATAGTAGTTCTCCATGCTTCCCCCTAGTGAGGGTAAAAAAGGACTGCAGATAACTTCCTGTGAAATTCTACTTGTCTGTTACATGAGGCCTTCACAAACGCTGTTCCCTCTTTTTTTTTTTTTAATAAATTTATTTATTTATTTTTGGCTGTGTTGGGTCTTCGTTTCTGTGCGAGGGCTTTCTCTAGTTGCGGCGAGCGGGGGCCCCTCTTCATCGCGGTGCACGGGCCTCTCACTGTCGTTGCGGAGCACAGGCTCCAGACACGCAGGCTCAGCAGTTGTGGCGCACGGGCTTAGTTTCTCCGCGGCATGTGGGATCTTCCCAGAGCAGGGCTCGAAGCCGCATCCCCTGCGTTGGCAGGCAGATTCTCAACCACTGCGCCACCAGGGAAGCCCTGTTCCCTCTTTAAAGGAATTCCCTTCCTTACTTTCTTGTCCGGGTAACTCCTTGTCCTCTAAATCTCACTTTATGCTATTTCTCCAGAAAGCCCTTCCCTTCTTTACTCGCCCAATCCAAATTAGGCCCCTGTTACTCTCTCATAATGTCTTATAATATCACTTCACGGCATTTGTCATGATTTGTAATTCTACTTTTGTGTGCATTAGGTTACCATTTACCCTGCCTCCCTCCCCATTAAAGCACAAGCTCCATGCAGGCAGGGACCATGTTGCTCACATCTCTATATCCAGTGCCCAGAACAGCATGGCACATAGTAGGTACTCAACGTGTATTTGTTAAGTGATGAGCAGCTTTTCTACAGAGGCCTAGGGTTTTCTAAACATAATATGCCCAGTACTAGCTTCTAGTTTCTTAGGATACAAATTGTTCACGGTGTCTTCTGAACACAGGGTCCTGTCACAGCAATAACCATATTTTATTACTTTTATTAATTTTTGGCCATACCGTGTGGCTTGCGGGCTCTTAGTTCCCCGACCAGGGATTGAACCCGGACCACGGCAGTGAAAGCATGGAGTCCTAATCACTGGACCACCAGGGAATTCCTAATAACCACATTTTAAAATGTCTGCTCTCATCCACATACTTGAGTACTTGTTGCTTTAAATGTAATGCTAAATCCTCCACAATGGCCCTGCCAGGTGGGGATTATTGGCCCTATTTTACAGACAAGGACCCCAAGGTTCAGAGATGTAAACTAAATTCCTCATAGTCACACAACTAGTAAGCAGAGGCACAACCAGGATTCAAGCCCAGCTCGGAGTCCATGGTCTGAGCTCCTTCTACTGAGTCCCCACTCCTCAGACAGGGTACATGACCCCCAGGGGGACACGCCAGCAGGCCTGAGCATATGAGAAACCATAAGACCAACAAGTGGCCCATTTCTGGTATTTTTTTTCTTGATGGTAAATAACATGAAATATTTCTGTGTTAAAAAAAGATATATATTTTAAAGTATAATATGTAATAAATTTAAAGAAACATAAAAAACAAAACACAGAAATTAAAAGAAATTTCCTGCCTGTCTCAGGAACCTTCATGGAAAAACACGAGAAGCACTTGTCACTCTTTCTTCATTTCATGTCCCTTTACCTCATTGCTATAGTTTTAAAATGCCAACATTCCAACTCAATCTTCATTTTCCATTCCCACCCTCCTTTCACTAGAAAAATTCAAATGTTTAGAGAAATTGTCAGTGTGTCAGCCACAGGCAAGTCATTTTCAAAAACCTTAGTCATTTATGAGGACACCTTTTTGTAAGTACAATAAATCTGATTGATTTTTATTACACATCTCAGTTTAGAATCACTTTTACATTCCTAGACAAAGAGATGATACAAATAAATATGAGTTGTAAAATTAGAGCCCCAAGTATTGGCATATTCTTTGTCTAAAGGTAGCCAAAGAGAAGGTCAAGATCAATAGTAACTCCAAAGAGCCATAAAGCCCACTGCCTCCTGCCTGCCCCAGGATCACTTCTTTCATAAATAACCTCAAAAGCATTTCATTCAAGAAACAAGGGTGGGGAGAAGGGGGGCAGATTTCTGAACAGTACAAGACAAAACCTTGCATGACAGACAATAGCCAGGCCCACTCTTCTTATCCAGGTCCCTTTGAGCATCCCGATTATGGCTTTTAGAGAATATTAATAGCCCCCTTTTCGTCCACTGATGGCGCTGAGATGGCCCAAGGCGTTGTTTGCAGTGAGCCTCGACCTCAAGCAGGAAATGTGAGGCAGAACTGATATCCCACGTTAACAGGGAATCGACGCTTCTCAGAAACCTGGCAACGATTCTACATTCAGTGAAGGAGGACTTACAAGAGTCAGACAAAAGTGGGGCATGGCCCACGTCTGAGCTGCAGAACTCTCTTACGCCCTTGGTCGTGGAGGTGCGGGTGGTGAGATTCAAGCAGCATGCAGGCATTAGACGGAGGACAACCCAATATTAGGGCGGAGTCTTAAGAAAGTGCTTCATGCCTATGATTTGTGGCCTTGGGTTCTGAATCCAGGGGCCTGGGAGACATGGGATTTGAAATCTGAAGCCAGATACATTCCTACCAATCAGAGCAAAAGGGGGCCTCACTGAGGGGGGTTGCACACTCCGTCTCAAACTCCTTCTCTCAGATGAGCTTCTTAGATCCTGTTAGACTTGCTGCCAGACTTCATTAGCTGCTGCTGACTCGAAGGCCCTCAGATGGCTTGGAACATTCTAGCATGACTACAGACATGAAAACCAGGTCCCTCAGTCGACTTCGCAGGTCTACACATTTGGCTCAATTCAGAGCCCAGAGCAGCAGCTTTCCGGTGGCAGAAAGACATTCTACTGGCTACTCTATTCGAACATTTCTCGGATCCATTTTGAGAGAAGAAAAGCACCGGAGACTGCTCTGGGACGGGACGGCTTCACCTCCACCCAGGGGTCCTTCTACTTTGCTTCACAGACCACCAGATGAACACAGCCAAGTACAAGGCAAGCCTGTTTTCATAATCCTGCCTGTCAACTTGGCTTTCTTCTTTTGCCTTCTTAGAAAAGTTCTATGGTCACTCAATCACCTGTGGTCAGAATAGCCACCTCGAGACATCAGTATTCAGCTACAGTGTCATCTGCAATTTTCAATTCTCAGATTTGCCAAATGGATATGTTCAGCCTAGAGAATTCAGACTAGCTTCGAGGAAATGTGGTGCGAGAGACAGGTGTAACCGGCAGGTCACCATCTTAGGCTACCCACCTCATTATCTGGTTCCTGTTCAAATAGGTAAATTCTTAGTAAATAATAAAGAAGCAGAGTTCGATCCCGAGACAGATGAGGGATGCCTCCATTATGCTCTGGGAATTGCTGAAAAGGGCCCTGGGTTCAGAAAGAATGGTTATAAAAAGGAGACAAGCTGTCAGACGACAGAGCTCCATTTGTAGAGCACTAAGACATTGCACTTGGTACCTCCTCTTTCCCACGGGTTCTGATCCAGAAATGTGCCCTGGGAACTGAGCAGCTGAGTTAAAGTATAACTCAAGGCCCACCTGAGTCGCCACCTTCCCGAGGCACCGTGCCAGCAAGGTGCGCCGGTGTGGTCGACTGGGGACACATATTGTCCCCTCAGGCTTGGCTCGTGGACTCAGACACCAACGTGGGAGCTTCCAGCCTGGATTAATCATTCAACGGGCCTTTAATACAGACAAAGGCAACAACTGCACGGTAGCATATTTCTAAAGTCGGGCAAGTTCTTCATCTCTCTCTCTCTCTTACAAACACACGCAGACACACTGGAAGCTTGTGCTTGCACACCCGCACACATTTATGAGCTTCACTTAGGGGGAAATGAGTAACATTCATCTAGTGACCAACGTAAAATGAAGCTTTGAATTTCAGTAATACAAAGAACTAAAACTTACAAACCAAACTAGTATATGTAAACGGAAATTCCTAACTCTCTCCTCTGAGCCTATGCGATCGCACAGCCACACCTCGCCACCACCTTTGGCTCTGCCTGAGAAGAGCCACAGTTCTAGGATTAGGTGAGTTTTCTGCTGAAGGCAGGCAGGATTCCTCTGCTTCCATCTGTTATGTCTTCCCTTGCCAATGCACCAAGCCTCCTGACTCTTGACCTGCCTAGTCACCCCAATGCTCTCTATGCAAATATGGAACAAAACGTGGGGGATGCAAAAGTGCCACTATGTGTCTCGTCCCCCCGGCTCTCGTCCCATCAGAGAAGGCAGAGCCAGCCTCCCTTCTCCCACAAATCAGGCCCACTGCAGAGCATGCTCTGGTGGCAGAGGATGGGCCCAGGCAGGGATGCTCAAGAGTATGCGTGCGTGGGGAAAATGGTGACAAATGAAGAGTAAAGTGACACGGTGTATGGACATGGCATCAACTTACAGATTTATGTCTTTGACAAGATGGTCATGGTTTTGAGGTTTTAAAGAAGCTGTTTCCCTAAACTCTCCAAGGAGGCAAAGGGAATGTTATTTCTATTGCCTCTGACATTGAATCCTTCTGGAGCAGAAGTCGGTAGCTTCCTCGAAAAACATCTGCTCCTTCAGCAGATCCCAGAGGGAGATCCACTTCTTACTGAGGGGCATGGACCATGCCCCTCGGAGGCTTGGCTCCAAATGAGATTTCTCATTTCTACTTACAAAAACAAGCACCTGTTCAAGTTCTAGGGCTTTCGCTTTCCAACCTCAGTATCATTTTATCCTGAGCCTCCAAAGACTTGGTCCTGCTAAGGTGACTCCTGATTCTGCCCTATTGTTCAACAAGAAGGGAGCCCAGTGTAAAGAACAGGCTAGAAAGGAGAGGGGAGAGGGTGGGGGGCCAAGGGAAGGGAGAGGAGAAGGAGGCAAGGGAGAAGGGAAGCAAGGTCACTGGTCATTCTCTTGCTTTCCACTTCGGCTATCGCGCTTTACCTTACCCATGCATTTCTGAGATGCTAATTAAAGGACGGTTCCCAGAGAAGCTGAGTGCCAGATTATGACCAGCATGTTTCAACCAGATTAAGTTGGTTAATCTGCAAAGAGGCCATCGCTTCTCCCCAGGGGAATGGTTCTGAGTTTGGGCCCGAGTCCTCTCTGCGGGTTTTTGCTTGTCTCTCCTCTCAGAAGGCAAACGTTGTTTATACTCTGGGAGAGGAGGAAGTGGGTTTACTTTGGAACCAGCCCCCGAGACTGTGGATAAAGCTGAGATGCGGGGGTTCCTGAGGAAGAGGAGGAGGATCCCGACTTCCTTCCACTTTTAGGTCTGCAAAAGTCAAGCACATATGTACATTACACATTCCGTCTCTGACACAGATCAGATTCCTTTCCCATCAAATGCCATTATATCTCAGCGTGGCCTTGCCTCAGTGGACTTTCAACTGTAAAACCACCAGAGATTGGCACAGCCTGCCCCTCTTCAATGGCCAACACAACCTGCCAACAGAGGAGTGAGATCTCAGGGGAGGGCCTCTGAGTCTCAGCAACTGTTATTCCATTAAAATCATATTTTGACTGTCTCCTCCAAATTGGTAAAAAATACTAAGTTTGTAGGTAGAATTCACTCCTTTTTTGGTTTTTCACTCAATTATTTTCCTTAAATTTCAAATCCAGAATTTAACAAGATAGAATTTCTAATTTAGCACCAAATTAAATCCTTGGTCATTTAAACTGAGGCTCAGAGCCTGGGTTGTGGATTCAGATAGACCTAGGTTAACTCTGGCTCTGCCACTTACTTCCATGATAAACAAGCACTTTTGCCACACTCTCCCCTCATTTGTCCTTGTTCAAACATGTTCTGTTCAAACATAGGTCACCAAAAGCCACTCACCTAGCCTTGGGTTTCTTATTTGCAGTGCTTTCAAAGGATGATGCGTCCACCTGTATCTCATCTTCATCCTGCAGAGCCGCATCCAACGCGGCCTGGACTTTGGGGGCAATGGCGGGCCCCTCGTAGTCTCTGGTGGTCCGGCTGGGCATGTCCAGCTCCAGCAGCACGATGTTTTCTGCCTGCAGAAGCAGAGCCAAGACCACCTAGGATGGCCTCCGATCACACAAAGAGAGTTCAAGCAATCTAAACCCAAGAACAGAACCGCAAATTGCATGCTACTCAAAGCCTACCAAGGGCCTGCCTGGAAGAAGTGATGTAGTTTTATAACTTTTTCTTTCTTTTTTCGGTACGCGGGCCTCTCACTGTTGTGGCCTCTCCCGTTGCGGAGGACAGGCTCCAGACGCGCAGGCTCAGTGGCCATGGCTCACGGGCCTAGCCGCTCTGCGGCATGTGGGATCCTCCTGGACCAGGGCACAAACCCGCGTCCCCTGCATCGGCAGGCGGACTCTCAACCACTGTGCCATCCGGGAAGCCCTATTTTCCTCTTTTTTTTTTTTAAAAAAAAAACAAAAAACAATGAACATGTATTCTATCCTAAGGGGAATAATCAGGGGAAAAGAATAAATTAAGTAAAACCCATTTATTGTAGACAATGTGAAAATACAAAAAGATACGCAGGAGAAAATAGTAGTCACCAATAATCTCCCCACCTACGGCAGCTTTGATGAACTTTTTGGTTGCAGAGGGAAGGAGGCAGGTATGGTATATATATGTGGAGGGTGTGTGTGTGGCAGTATATGTGCTTATTACCACATTTTAAAAATCAGACTGGGCCCTGCCTCATAACTGGCCTTGGAGATAGAGTCCCTCACTTGATATCCCGCGGTGGGCCTTTACCTAGCTCCTAAATACCAAGTTGAATGTGAAGAGGGAAGAACACCCATGGTTCCACATCTTCCCCTCTAGCTCCTCCCACACAGTGGAGTTCAAGCCCCAGGGCCCCAGAGGGGGCACGAGGGGCCCCAGCTGGGAGAAGGTGGGGGAAAGAATGGCGTGGCTCCACTGATCAATTTTATATGTTGAGATACTGCATAACATTTCTCTTAATGGAGCCGGTCCATTGCTAAAAATCATCTGAGAGCCACTGCTTTAAATTCTACCTTTAGATCAAGGTAAGCCACCTGGAAACCCACATATTTGACTTGTAGGCTTTAAAATCATGTTTTTGGCTTAAGACATGAAATAACCGGCACTCTCTGAAACTGCTAGAAAAAAGTTTCTGAGGATTCTGTGTGACACATCACTCATCCTCCACTACCTAATATATCTTTTTTGCTTTTGTTTTCTTTATGTAAAATAACTCAATGCCCGGAAGAACAGTGCCTGAGGAGCTAACTAATCCTAATCTGTTTTGCTCTGGCTGCTAAGGGAGATTCAAAAACATTTAAAAAATTTTAAGTGAAAATCTTTCATTATAAACGTAATACAGGGAATTCCCTGGTGGTCCAGTGGTTAGGACTTGGTGCTTTCATTGCTGTGGTCCAGGTTCGATCCCTGGTCGGGGAACTAAGATCCCATAAGCCACAGAGTGCGGCCTAAATAGATAAATAAATAAAAGTCATACCAGTTCCCCATTGACAGAAAATACAGATAAGCAAAAAGAAGAAAATTTAAAATGAGTTCACTTCCATTAACCAGTGACAACCAGTTCACATTCTGATCTACTTTGCACCAGACTTTTTAATTCATATATACACTTCCAGTACCAAGTGCTCTATAACTTAAAAACACACGTGTCTCCTGATTCATCCACTTACCAGCTACCTGACCTTTAAGCCACAGGACTGACACAGCAGAGCAGGTGAGAGGGCTCAATCAGAGACAGCAGCAAAGTGCTGAGTACAGTGCTTGGCACACAGCAAGTGCTTATCAATAGAAGCCTGTACGGTATTTTTACTGTAAAATATGTTTGGGTCATTAAATAGTCATCGATTATGTCACTTCAAATAACTACTTGACTCACACACATTATGTTAAATGGAAGGACCGTTAGCTCTTTAGCGCATTTCCATCTCTTGTTACTAGACGTCTACTTTCCTTCCGATCTCCCCGCGAGGCCACTCTGAAGCTCATGATTGGCTACATGGACGGTATGTTTGGACTCTCCTCCTTCCCTCCTGATTTGCTAAATCTCGTTCTCTTTTACCTTTTTATTTATCATTTGTTATTTATTAATTATATTTATCTATTATTTGTTATAAGTGTTATTATTAATATAACTGTCCTCAGGTCCCTCTGGAAAGAGGATACAACCTGTGACTTTGCAGACCGGTGCCTAAGGGTTTACATGAATCTAGTCTCTTCTAAGAGAGAGGAGAGAGAAACGCGAGTGCAATCTTCTCACCCTATATCGAGCCTCTGGACGAATCATCATGGACATTCTTGCGTGCTGGCTCAATGGTCTCTTGTATCCCACAGCTGATACTGGCCGCTTCATCATCTGTTGATTCCTGGAAATGGACTGTGGTGGTCAAAGCCCTGGCTGGAGTCTGTTCCACAGTCCCAGGATCGGTACTGTGGAACCAGCACTCAGAAAACTGAGCCTTCTTTAGCTAGAACCTGAAGCAAGAAACTCCCTGGACTGAAGGCTGACATGTAAACGGGGCAGGAGCTGCTTATATTTTCTGCTGGAGTGGCTTTCTGATTCAAGTGTGAGCATCACGCATCTCTTAAGCTGGAAGGGCCCTGAGTCATCCTCCAGTTCTTAGACAGCAGGCACGAAGCCTAGCTGTAGACACTCTCCACCCCCGCAGCTTTGGCAGACATCTCCCATCTTTCCAGCGGAATCCAGATGCAGACTGAGAATCCTTCTCGACATTGCCAGACTGACACGTAAGAGAACACCTATGTACCACCCCTCCCTTGGCCCAGCAGTTTCACTTGACAGCTGGGGGAGCTGAAAAGCAGGAACTTGGGAAAGGTCATTAGTTCACTGTGATAAAGTCTCCCAATTCCTAATACCATATTCATCACCATACTTTTACCTCATGGACTTATGGCAGCCACAAAGACCTGCAATTGGTTCCAAGTTTAAATGGATCAAACTGTGTTCTTACCATACCTCTCTGGCCAAGCCCAGCTTATCAATATTCTTTCCCTCCTCCCCACCTTAAAGTCTACGTGAAGTCATTTGTGACTTACTCCAGTCTGGTTATAGGATGTAATTTCCAATGATCTTCCTCTTCATCAAAGAAGGATCTATTCATAATTTTACTTTTTTCTTCCAGAGGGATGAAGTTTTCTATAATAAGATGCCTGTAAGAGCACACATACACGGGTGAATAGATGGAGAAAGAATACGAATGGGGTGTTGGCTATCTGGTCCCACATGAAGTAAATAATAGGTAAGGGTCAAGTCACTCAGCAAACATTTACTGAGCAGGTACTATGGGCCTAGCATCATACAAAGAGCTGGTTTACAGACATGAATGACACTTGGTTCTGCCTGAGATAGACAAACACTCTTAGGTATGCTGACAGGTCTGTCCTAGGAATATGGAAAGGTCACTTACGCCCAAGGAGTAGCAGCTTGAGGAGGTGAGAGGACTAAAGAGGAAGGCAATGCCTGGGCTACGCTGGAGTGAACACGTGCTAAGTGAAGTATTTTGGGAGGGCCACTGGTACTGCTAAGTCAGCTCGTTAACTTCCAAAATGCTGCAAACAGATTAGAACTTAAACTGCCTTCCCCCAATCCTATGCATTGTTGCCCAAGCTGGAGAACTCCACATTCTAATCACCGAACAAAGAGCAGAACGAGATGGATTTCAGTCCCTTAGACCCCTGAGAATGAAGACCATTCCTGAGAAGAGTCTCTGCCTAAGAAGCACCCAGGGAACATGGCAAACAATGAAACTGGAACCCACTGGGTTGTGTCTCTCCATGGTGATGACGATCTCCTGCCCCCTCTCTGTGTTCACTCTTTCAAAACCTCAGGACAGAACAATGCCAAAGGGCTGTTAACGTAGGAGAGACACAAAACAAACACCACAGAGGTGTAGGGTGCTATGAGAAACAGGCTGACTCGCTGTTTATTCAGAAGATATTAATTAGAGGGACTTCTCTGGTGGCTCAGTGGTTAAGAATCCGACTGCCAATGCAGGGGATACGGGTTTGAGCCCTGGTCCGGGAAGATCCCACGTGCTGCAGAGCAACTAAGCCCGTGAGCCACAACTACTGAGTCTACGCTCTAGAGCCTGGAAGCCACAACTACTGAGCCCGTGCGCCACAACTACTGAGCCCATGCGCCACAACTACTGAAGCCCACGCACCTAGAGCCCGTGCTCTGCAACGAGAGAGGCCACCTCAATGAGAAGCTCACGCACCGCACCGAAGACTAGGCCCTGCTCCCCGCAACTAGAGAAAGCCCGAGTGCAGCAACAAACACCCAACACAGCCAAAAATATATATATAATAATAATAATAATTTTTAAAAAGATATTAATAAGAGACATAGCAATGAAAATGGCTTCCTTAAAGAAAAAAATATTTTGGAGAGAAGAAATTTTCTCTTTATTTGATATTTAAGAAACTATTTTTTATAACATATATATTTTTCTTTCTGATTTTAAAGGTCCTATTTATACATTAGAAAATGTAAGAAATACAATTACACACAATTTCACCACCCAGAGATACTCTTATTATTTTGGCATATTTTGTTCTGACCTTTTTTCTAGGTGTACATGCCTAGAAAGAGGACTGACACATACATTTAATATTAAGGGCTCCTTTCCAAATTTAACACTTAAACATTAAAAGAAACTCTTTGAAAAGTTCCTCTTTTTTTTTTTTTTTTTTTTTGACCACACCTTGTAGGATCTTAGTTCCCCGACCAGGGATTGAATCTGTGTCCTCTGGAGTGGAAACGTGTAGTCTTAACCACTAGACCACCAGGGAAGTCCCCTGGAAAGTTCCTCTTTAAAGAAAACTTCGAGCAAATGTGGTGGAAGGACCGATATAAAAAAAACATCATTTTGCAAAACCCCTAATGAAATAATGTAGCCAGACAAAGATCATTGCTGGCTGAAACCATTAGCTCAGTGGTTCTCAAGCCAGGCTGCACATCAGTAGCAGTTACAATATTTTAGCCGAACCTCATGAGAGATCAACGGTTCTTAAAGTGTGTTCACCAAACCAGCAGGAGCAACAGCTGGTACTTGTGAATGCAAATGCTCAGGCCCCACCCCAGACATACTGAATCAGATTCTCTGGGTGTGGGGCCCAGCAATCTGCATTTAACAAGCCCTTCGGATGATCTGGTGCCTGCTGAAAGTTTAAGGACCATTGCCCTAGACCAATGAAATTAGAACCTCTTGGCAGGGACCCAAGCATCACTATTTTTAAAAACTCCTCAGGTGATTTTGGTACGCAGCCAAGGTTGACCGGTCACTTCCAGTTACAGAGAAGTAAGGGAGATAGAGCCACAAGTTAAATGGCACTGTGAAGAAGCAGACTGACAAATCCAGAGCGTGGGATGTTTCTATAGGCTATCTGCCCTAGCCTTTTCAACAAGTCAACTATGAAAAAAAGTTTTTAACAGGAAAAAGGACTGCTCCAGATTAAAATAAGCTTAAGAGACATAATAACCAAATGCAATATGTGGTTCTTATGTAGATCTTAATATTAATAAACCAAGAAAATCTGAATATGGACAGGGTACAAGAGAAACAATGTTAATTTTGTTAGGTGGAAAGATATTACGTACGCAAAAAATCTATTTTATTTCTTCTACACTACACTAGCAATAAACATCCTGAAAATAAAATTAAGAAAACAATTCCATATACAATAGCATCAAAAAAATAAAATACTTAGGTATAAATCTAACAAAAGAGGTGTGAAGACTGCACTGAAAACTATAAACATTCCTGACAGAAATGAAAGAAGATTTACATAAATGTAAAGACATCCCATGTTCATGGATCAGAATACTTAATACTGTTAAGATGACAATACTCTCCAAGTTGATCTATACAGTCAACACAGTCCCTATCAAAACCCCAGCTGGCTTTTATTTTCCAGAAATTGAAAAGCCAATTTTAAAGTTTATATGGAAATGTAAGGGACCCTGAATAGCCACAAGGAATCTTGAAAAAGAACAACAAAGTTGGAAGGCTCACATTTCCTCATTTCAAAACTTACTACAAAGCTACAGTAATCAAGACAGTGTGGTACTGGCGTAAGGACAGACGTACAGCTCAATCGAACAATACTGAGAATTCAGAAATAAACCCTTACTTACATTTATGGTCAACTGATTTTCAGCAAGGGTGCAAAGACAATGAAAGAAGAGCCTTTGCAACAAATGGTGCTGGAACAACTGGATAGCCACATACAAAAGAATGCATTTGGAACCATACCTCAGACTTTACAAGAAATTAACTCAAAATGGATCGCAGACCTAAAGGTAAGACCTAAAACTGTAAGACTCTTGGATAACCTGAGAGAATTGAAAACCTAAGTCCACAATAAAACTCGTACACAAATGTTCATAGCAGCATTATTCATTATAACTAAAAGGTAGGAACGACCCAAATGTCCATCAACTAATGAATGGAAAAAATGTGGAATATCCATACAATACCATATTGTTCAGCCATTAAAAAGAATGAAGTGCTAACATGCTACAACATGGATGACCCCTGAGAGCATGTTAACTGAAAGAAACCAGTCACAAAAGACCACATATTGTATAATTCCATTTGTATGAAAGGTCGAGAATAGGCAAATTTATGGAGACAGAAAGTAAGTAGACCAGTAGTTATTAAGCTGGGGTAGGTGGTAATGAGGAGTGACTGATCATTGGTACAGGGTTTCTTTGGGTGGGGGCGGGGGGCACACACAGATGTTCTAAAATTAGATGGTGGTGATGACTTTACAACCCTGTAAATGTATTTTTTTTAAATGACTTGTAGGGGAGTTCCCTGGTGGCTTAGTGGGTAGGATTTCGGGCTTTCAGTGTCGTGGCCCAGGTTCAATCCCTAGTCAGGAAACTGAGATACTGCGAGCCACGTGGCACAGCTGGAAAAACAAATGGCTTGTATACTTTAAATAGGTGAATTGTATGGTATGTGAATTATACCTCAGTAAAGCTTTTTTTAAGAAAAGCACTGTGGTCATGTATGTAGGTATATAGGAATGAGATAACATGAGGTAAGATTTGCTTTAAAATATTTTTATGAAAGATAGAGGACAAAAGATTGTTGATCATGGAATCTGGGTGATGGGTATTTGGCTGTTCATTATACCATTCAGAAAATTCTAGTTAATAAAAGATTCCCTTTTATCAATAGATAGAAGCCTTCTTTAAAGGCAGGAAGGTAGAGTGAAAAGGAACTTGGAGATCATCTCAGTTAACAGATGGGACCCAGAGACAGCAAATAACTTTCTTTGGAATAAACAGAAGACAGACAAGGTGGCAGGAGATGGGGTGGAGAGAAGTAGGGCCCTGTCCTCAGGGGTGTGTTTCTGACTGAACACACAGCAACCCAGCAAGTGCTGGAAGGCCCAGAACTTACTTGAGTTTCAGCTCCCGGGTGAGCTCATTCTGTGTCTGTTCCAGCTCCTGCCGCTCCTTGATGTGCTCTTCTTGGAGGTCATGGATCTCCGCCTTCACTGCCTGAAGCTTGGAGAATAGCTGGAACCGACAGGAGAGGCAGGTGAGAGGTGCAGCCCTCTAGACAACAGAGTTCTCCCTCTGCCCCAAGCCTCAAGGCACCTCTGCCTGGCCTTGTTCCTTTCATACCTTTTTGAGCTTCTTGGTCTTGATGTCCACCTCTTGCTGCAATGAGCTGTACGTCTCTTTCAGTTCCAAGGTCTCCTCGTCGCGGCTTTCCATCTGTTGCTGGATTTCTCTTTCTCGACGTTTCTGGGCAACATCACAAAATTGATCAGTGTGCCTAGAGACAAGGTCTATACAAGAACATGGGGCTGGGGGCTCCAGATCAGGGTCTCCCGCCAGGAAGGGGCTGACACACTTCAGTTCCGTTCCCTTTGAAGAGTCTAATACAAGAGATATTTGTTCTGTCGCATTAACACACCTCACCCCACCCCGTTCTCTCCAAAAAGGCATGAAAAGTTACCTGCTCTGCAATTTCCTGCCGTTTCTGCTCCAGGATTTTCTGCTGTTCGTTTGTATGATCTACTATATTTTTTCCTCCAACAAGCAGCTTACTCTCCATGGCCTTTGTGAGGAAAAAGTAGAATCCATCTGATGAGTGGTCTCCCTCAGAACACAGCTCCTCACAGGGAAGCCCATGAAAGATAAAGAGCTCAGGACTGAGCCCAAGGGGAGGAACTCTGGGGGAAAATATAGTGTGCTCAGCTGTACCCTTCCCATGACGGGTGGGGCTGAGGCCGCTTCACTGGGGGCTTTATCTTGGAAACAATGAAGATACAGCTTCCCCAGACATACATGAATTGCAGCTTTCTTTTTAAAAAACACTGTTTTAGTTTGTTTGTACAAAGTATTTGACCCCACTAAGAACCTGTTAAGCACCTCCTATGTGCTAGGTACTGAGGATGCAGCTGTAAATACAAATCACAAAGCTGAGAGTCCACTGAGGGCCACAGACAAGCAAGCGGCCTCTTACCCTATGGAGTCAGATCCCATCAGGAGGAAAAGACCGAGTAATAAGGGGAGGGGCACACTGAAGGGAGAGAATTCTGGCTTTTGGAGGGAGTCAGGGAAAGTTTCCTTTCTCAAGGAATTAGCTAAGAAAAAAATTTTTTTTCAGAGGGTAGGGTAGGGAGTGGTGATACATGAAGTTGGCAAAGCAATCAGGGCTCAGTTCAAAAACCTCCAAGCCCTGTTAAGGGAGACTAAGCTTGACCCTGAGAACCGCAGGAACCACTGACGTGTACTTTGAGTGTTAGGGTACAAAATCACACTTGTGTTTTAGAAACAAAACTCCCCTGCGACAGGAAGAATAACTGGAAAAGGGCAGGCTGGGTGCAAGGAGAGCAGACAGGAGTCAGTTTTAAGGGTCCAGGCCTGGGCTAGGGCAGTGGTGGCTGGGGAGAGCAAAGTGGATGGGTCCGAGAGAGGCAGCATTCAGAGGCTTAAGGGAGAGGGACAGCAGCCAGCAATGATAACTCTTCGGAGTCTGGCTAGACTGAGAAAAGGCAGGCAGGAGCGGGCTCTGGGTGGCCGCGGGCGTCTCCGTGGAAATGTCCAGTAGGCAGAGGCTATCGGGCTGGGATATTAGGAGACAGCTCTGGGCTGACTATACAGACTGCAAGGCTTCAGCATTTAGATGGTGGCTGAAGCCAGGGGAAGGATTTGCACCTGAAAAGCATGGAATCCAAAAACCCCACAACCTTGCTTTTAAGAAACTTATACCCCTGCTGCCATGTTTCAGGGAGCGCTTGAAATTTTCCTCTTCTCTCCAAACGAAGGGGCTGGACTGATTACTAACCCTCCCCTCACCACACACACCCTTCCGCCTCTAAAATTCTTTTGTCCTGTGATCTTACAGCATCCAGGGATGGAGAAAGACAGATGTAACGTCATTCTCCCATAAATAAAACTTGTAAGAGGTACAGTGACCTTGAGGTGATGCTGAGTCTTGCCACACTAGGCTTCTGAGAGCTGCCCAAATATCCCAGGTTGTTTAAAGGGTCTAGGTGGCGCCTGGGCTTGAATAACAGATGTGATCTTAAAAAACAGCATGGAAATCAAACATGGGTACACCCAGTTACACAAGTGCAGGAGTGAGGAGGGGTGAAGTGACATAATGGAATCCCACAGTAAGCCCCTCCCTGGGACACAGTTACCTCCTAATTGTGTTGTATGTGACTCCATTTTCACACCAGGTCTTGAAAGTCTTGGAAAGGACCCCTGCCTCTGAAGTAAAATAGGACCCAGCTCTGTGAAAGGGCTACTTTGATGCCACAGATAAAGTACAGCTTCATATGGTAGGGGAAGGCGAAGCAAGAAAGAGATCACTTGTCATTTTTAAATTAATAAACATAGATACATTTTAGAGTAGAAATTGAAGTCTGCACAAATTCCATAAGATAGAACCTCAAAGGAATTTTGGGTTGTGGTCAAGCAGCGGTCATCCTCAGATTTCCAGAGCTAGCTCTGCACTCTCTTCTGCCATTAAAGCCCTGTGGCAGCCCAGAGTCCAGGCACCTGATGGAATTGTACACTGTGGACAGAAAGAACACTCACAAGGGGCGCCTCCACGCTCTAGAATACAATTCAGCCACTGCCACACAGTGGTTGACTGCAAGGGAGCCTCTGGGCGGGGGGTGGTGACGGAACTGTTCTGTATCTTGCTTAATCAGAGACACAGCATATGAAAACCACGAGGAGATACCAGTGTATATCTACCAGATATACAAAAAGTCAAGTCTGCTAATCACAAGTGTTGGTAAGGATGAGGAACAACCAGGACTCATACCCTTCTGGTAGAAGCTTCAATTCACAGGGCCACGTTAGAAAATGACATGTCATTGTCTAGCGAAGTTGAAGCTACACACACCCTAGGGCCTGCCAGCGTCAGGCAAAAAACTCTCACGCACACGTGTTCTCCTGGAGCCAAGTACAAGGAATTCAGGGCAAAAAAAAAAAAAAAAAAAAAACAAAAACAACCCACACTATCAGGAGAATGGAATACCACGGAATTCTCAGAACAATTATAACGAATGAATCACAGCTTCAGGCATCAATATGGATAACAAAAAAAAAAAAAAAAAGAAACAGAAACAACCCACACTATCAGGAGAATGGAATACCACGGAATTCTCAGAACAATTATAACGAATGAATCACAGCTTCAGGCATCAATATGGATAACTCTCATTAACATAACATTTAGCAAATAAAAGTAGATCACAGTAGTGGGATTTCATTTATATAAAAGATAAAAGTTATGTGAAACTAAAACTATCTTTTATGTAGAGATATATATACACATTTGGGGAAACTATAAAGAAAGGCAAGGAAAGAATAAACACCAAAACCAAGATAACAGTTACCTCTGAGTGGGCGGGGACACAAAGAGCTTGTAAAGCTATGGATGCTGTTCTGTTTCTTATACTGGGCCGGGGCTGGGGAGGGGGTACATGGGTGTTAGTCTTATTGCTGTCAAAGAAAAATTGTTTTTCTTCATCCAATTCAATTCAACAAATGTTCCTTGGACACTGGGTATCACAAACCCTAAAGAGACACCATCCTTCATATCATTTTTTTGGATAAAACAAAAAGGTTTAAAAGAAAAAAGACCACGCCTAAGGCAGGGTACAGTACCTTGATTTTGGCGCCCAGCATCTCGGCAGCATCCTTCTCCCGCCGCAGATCCTCCATCTTTTTCTCCTTCTCCTTCAGCAGCCTCATCTTCTCCTCTGCAACCAAGCTGTGGTCCTCTACAATGGCCCGCTTCTCGATCTCCAGTTTTTCTTGCTGTTCCCGCCAGTAATCATCCTTATCATCCCCTTCGTCCTCACCCTCTTCTCCCTCCTCCTCCTCCTCTTCCCCACCCCCACCCCCGCCACCACCTTCCCTCCGCTTCTCTCGCCTCTTCCTTCTGCCAATGGACCGTTTTTCTAGCTGGGCCTTGAGCCGAGCAATCTCTTCCTGGAATTCTCGAAGGAGGGCATCCTTAGGGTCCTCATTGACCCTTGGCTTGTTCTTAATGTTCTTGGCACGGTTGGCGTATCTCAGAGTGGTTAGAGTCTCTTCTACGTTGTACGAGGCAGGGCCCACATTGGCCACCATCACAGTTTTAGCATTGCCACCGAGAGAATCTTGGAGGAGCCTGGTAAGCTTTGAGTCCCGATATGGAATGTGAGTGCTTTTGCCATCCACCAGGGCAGAGATGACGTTACCCAAGGCTGAAAGGGACAGGTTGATCTTGGTAGCTTCCTTCAATCTTTCCCCTTGCGCACCGGTCTTGGCCTGCCGTTCGCTGCCAGCAAGATCTACAAGGTTCAATTTCCCTACCCGGATATGGTTTTCACCATCGAGGCCCACCTCACTGCACTCAATGGTGATGACAAAAATTGCATGCGAACGGGAACTGTGCTCGTTCATGTTGGTAGCACCGACAGAACGGTTCTGGTTCCCCACATTCATCACGTGCTCTATTTCCTTCACGCTCTTGGTGACAAAGGAAGACAGGTCTTTCACGTACACTCCAGTGTCCGGCCTCTCCTTGAGCTCGAGCCTTTTGGTCTGATCCTTTGAGAGGAGATCTCGGATCTCCTCCTGGTAGATCTCTAAGTAAGAAGCCCTGACCAGGTACTGTTGATTCTGGGATCGAGAGATATGGGTGAAGATGTGATCAAAAGAGTTAGGGATGACCCCTCTTTTTTCAGGGTCGCCGCGGACTCCTTCCATTGTGTAGGTTTTCCCAGTCCCGGTCTGTCCATAAGCAAAAATCGTCCCATTGAAACCCTGCAGGACGGAGTCCACCAGTGGTCGGAACGTCTCGTCGTAGAGTTCAAACTGCTTGGCGTTCCAGTCGTAGACGGCATCAAAGGTGAAGGTCTTGGGCATTTCATGGGCCACTCCCTTGGGGTTCTTCACCGACACCTGCCCCAGCTTCACGTCCACATCCACTACCTTGTCGTACGAAGCAGCCTTTTCCTTGCCATTCATGGGCCGACAGCGAACCACCACCCGGACTGACTCTGAGCTCTTCAACTTTGACATGATGAGCTCTGACCGGGTGGATATTAAGGGCTATGAATCCAAAATAAGTCTCACAATGCTAGGGTCCTAGGAAAAACAAAACAAAAGTAAGTAAGGACAGTACAGTTGTCACTGGGGGCTGCTGAAAAGCAGATGACACACCCAGGTCACCTCCATCCTGCCAGCCTTCTGACAGCTGCACTTAATAACTTCACTACATCGGATGTTTCCTCATGGGATCTTAACCAGCTGCAGTGGGAAAAATAAAAGCACTAGTCCACCTATAGTGTTAACTAGCTTGTCCTCCCTTCACCTGATATTTTATCTTATACTACAGGCTGAGGCAGCTGGAAACGTTACAAAAGCCTGGGTAGTCTTACATGCCGTGGAAGTACGAAAGCCTCTGCACAGAGCCATCTGGAACCATCTATCTAAATGTAAAATGCACGTCCCTCTTGATCTAGCAGCTGTATTTCTAAGAATTTATCCTACAGACAGAAGGATGTCTGTGTTGTGGCATCATTTGTGGTAGCAATAGATTTCAGGCAACCCCAATTCCCATCAAGAGGGTACTGATTAAATAAATTTAATATATTTAATATATACAAATCCTGGAATCCTGGGCAGTTACTAAAAAGAATGTGCTAACCTAAACACAATCCTAAAACAAGATATATTGTTAAGTGAAAAACGCAGATGAGGAACAACGTGTATAGTACAGTTTACATATGCATGCTACAATGTAAGTATACATGTAAAAGTGCTAACAGTGGCAGCCTCAGCAGGGGAACTATGGGCCCCGATGACACTCAGAGGTCTAGAGAGAGGAAACCGACTTTGACACTCAGAGGTCTAGAGAGAGGAAAACGACTTTTCACAATACAATTGTTTGTACTGTTTGAATTTCCTATCTTGTACTGATAATACTTTTCCATTCTAAAATCATCAACTATGGCTTGTGCAAAATGTATTCAAATAAACAAGGATGTGGGGTAATACATTACAAAGAAAGCACTTATCCAATCAATAAATTTAATACAATTTGAATGCAAATAAGAAAATAAATGTTAAGAAATTTTTAAATAAAACCAAAAACAGAACTTCATTTGGTGCTGAAAAACTCAGGGAGCAGAAGAAAGTATGATTAAATGGGTCCTTTGGGAAGGGGTAGGGAGCAAGCAGGTCAGAGCAAAGCGGTATGTACGAGGACCTTAAACTCCCGAAAACCTCAGTGCAAGGGTTTTTAAAAAACAGGTAATTCACATGGTTCTTGACTCAAAAGGCCCTTTGGAGACAGGTCTCTCTCCTTTACCTGTTCTCCAGCCACCCAGTTCCCTGCTTACAAGGTGAGTGTTATTAGATTTTGTTTGTTTGCTTTGTTTGTTTGTTTTCGGTACGCGGGCCTCTCACTGTTGTGGCCTCTCCCGTTGCGGAGCACAGGCTCCGGACGCGCATGCTCAGCGGCCATGGCTCACGGGCCCAGCCGCTCCGCGGCATGTGGGATCCTCCCGGACCAGGGCATGAACCCGTGTCCCCTGCATCGGCAGGCGGACTCTCAACCACTGCACCACCAGGGAAGCCCTGTTATTAGATTTTTATCCTCCTGAACTAGTTTATGCATAACAAGCAAATATGTATTAATACATACTTGCCCTCTCCCTTTTTACGCAAGTGTAGTATGTTATACACAGTAATATGCAGTGTCCTGCATCTTGCTTTTTTTTCATTAAACAACCTATCTTGGAGTTTGTTCCCCTCAGTAAATGCAGAGCTGCCTTATTCTTTATGACAGCAGCAAAATATCCCTCTGTATGGAAGCATCATTATTTATTTAACCCCTGCCCTAGCACTTAAGCTGTTTCTGATATTTTACTGTGGAAAACCTTGGACAACATCCTTTTATGTGTGGGAAAATCTATCTGTAAGGATAAATTTCTAGAAGCGCAATTGCTGGATCACAGGATATACGCATTTGTAATTTTAGTAGATACTTGAACAGTAATAACAGGATCCTTTTTAGTTGTGAGAATGACCTATTCTTTGCCAACAAAAGGTGGGAAAATGTGAAGCAGGGCTGGGCCACTCTAGGTATATATGCTGCAAGTTAATAAATACAGAGTCAATATGTTCCTCCGTTGGTCTTTCATAAAAACATTGTTCTGCCGCTAAGCGCATGGAAACATGAAAAGTTACTTTTCATACTTCTTCTAGTTGTTATATTAATAAAATAATGTTGTCTAGAATGCAGAACCAGAAGACCTCTTACCCTCTCTTCACCCATTTTCTGTAAAATCTGTAAAATAGGGGTAATTCTTCATTTTGGATGCTTGTGAGACTAAAAGCCACTTACAAAGGTGGAAGTACTTTGTGAACTAACATAAAGCTGGATTAAAATTAACTAACACAGTTTCATCCAAAACCCTTGTCAAAGGGTCATTCCAGAGTTTACTAGTGAGCCCTAATTTTATACATTAAAAAACAGAAAGGGGTGGGTGGGGAACGGGTCACTGGAGAGGATCAATGCTTTTACATTACAAACCCGGGAAGAGGCCGAGCTGTTCCCCTTTTACCTATCAAAACAATGTGGCCCCAAGTCTGTTTAATAAAAAAAGCCTGCGGCAGGTTTTCTTGCAGATCTTGATGTTCAGATGCTTCTGTTAGAGCTGCATGTATTTTTAAGCTCTCCAAAACAATAAAAACAAAGGAATGATAACGACCTACAATAATCTTAAAAATCTTTTTAAAAGAAGTAATTCCCAAAGCCTGAGTCCCCTTAATTAAATCTCCTTGATTTGGAACACAGAACACCATTTCTTTTCTGAACTCACAGAGCTCGGCTGAGCTAGTCACGTACTACTGACATATTATTTCAGGAAGATGGACTAATTTAATTTCCTGCCACCAGGGCTTAAAATCTCGCTGTGGGTCCTCCTCAAAGGAGAAGGTTTTCTTGGAAGGATGCCCTGATTCCCTTTCTTTACTTTATTACCTTCCTTCTCCTTCTTCTGGTCAGTCTAATTACAGTGATAAATCTTTAAAGGAACTCACAGCATTGCCAGGAAAGAAGGAACCACAGGTCAGCAGTTCAGCATTTTTGTCCTGAATACTTTTTCTGCTAGAACTTGTCATCTCTATGTTAACAACCACTATTTGAATGGCTACTACATGAGAAAAATTGAGTCTTCCCCTAACTTCATCTCTTTTGTCCGCTGAGGAAATCAGCTGCACATTTCTCATGGTGGCCACTCTCTTCCAGAATCTTTGAGGACTTTCCTGGTGGCGCAGTGGTTAAGAATCCGCCTGCCGATGCGGCGGACACAGGTTTGAACGCTGGTCCGGGAAGCAACGTGCCACGGAGCAACTAAGCCCGTGCGCCACAACTACTGAGCCCACGCACCTAGAGCCCACGAGCCACAACTACTGAGCCCACGCACCTAGAGGCCCTACTCCGCAACGGGAAAGGCCACCGCAACGAGAAGCCCACGCACTGCAGTGAAGAGTAGCCCCACTCGCTGCAACTGGAGAAGGCCTGCGGGCAGCAACAAAGACCCAGCACAGCCAAAAATAAATAAATAATTTTATTTAAAAAAAAAACTTACATGTTTGGATTCACGCTCTCTCACCCTTGCTAGCTGTCATGGAGTCCACCTCAAATTCTAGAACCAGGTGCAGACTGGATGCTTAGTAACTACTGGCTTCCTATAGAGATTCTAGGACAGAGGTCACAGACTGGTCCCATTCTACCTGCCCCTGCTCGCCCCAACTAGAGAAAGCCCACATGCAGCAACGAAGATGCAATGCAGCCAAAAATAAATTAATTAATTAGAAAAAAGAGAGAGAGTGGTGTTGTTAAAAAAAAAAAAAAAAACCCAGCAATTCCACGTCTATATTTGTGTGTCCTGGTGAAAAACCTTTGCACCTGTGCACAAGGAAACACAGACAAGTGTGCTTCCTGCAGCACTGTTAAAATAATAGAAAACTGGGGCTTCCCTGGTGGCGCAGTGGTTGAGAGTCCACCTGCCGATGCAGGGGACGCGGGTTCGTGCCCCAGTCCGGGAGGATCCCACGTGCCGCAGAGTGGCTGGGCCCGTGCGCCATGGCCCTGAGCCTGCGTGTCCGGAGCCTGTGCTCCGCAACGGGAGAGGTCACAGCAGTGAGAGGCCCGCGTACCGCAAAAAAAAAAAAAAAAAAAAAATAGAAAACTGGAAACAACCATCCATTTATAGAGGAACTGAAAAATAAAATATGGTATACTCATATTACAGAGAGTATACTATTCAGTAGTTCAAAGGAATAAATTAGAGCAGGGGTCAGCAAATGACAGCCCACAGGCCAAATCCAGTCCATAGCCTGTTTTTGTAAACAAAGTTTTATTGGAACACAACCATACCCCTTTGTTTACATATCATCTATGGCTGCTTTAGCTATAAAAATAGCACAGCTGAGTAGCTGCAGCAGACAGTATGGCCCACAGAACATAAAATAGTTACCACCTGATCTTTCACAAAAAAAGTGTGCCAACCCTGAATTAGAGTTATATATACTTACATGGATAAATAAATAGGTTGAGTGGAAAAGCAAGCTGCAGAGTGACAATTATGACTAAAAACTTAGAAAACAATATGGTGCTCATGGATTTGCATTTATGTATACATAAGTATTCCCCCAAATGGGTAGAAGGATATACAACAATTTATGATAGTGGCTGCCCAAGTTGGGCAGGGTGAAATGTTGAGAATGGGACAAGAAATGTGAAGAATTTTTCAATTTTATCTGTAATATTTTATCATTTCTCCTAAAAAAAGAAACAGGGAATGAGGCTTGAAGCAAATAAGAGAAAATGTTAATAATTATCAATTCTGTTTCCTATATTTTTCTCTGAATGTTTAAGCTTTCTCAGAAAAGAAAAGAAAAAAGAAAACCAGCAATTTCACATTGAAACAGAAAAACCAGATTTTCTGCTTCTCTGGAATAATGGGAATATCTGACAGCCCAGGCCCCAAGTGGCAGCAATGGGAACTGAGTGACGGCTGCCCCTCTAATGGGCCTGGCCACCCAATCCTCCCCAGCCCACACTCCCTATTGTCTC